GGCTTCAGAATTCAGAAAGCTCTTAATAGGTTGAAGCAATGGGTTGAGTCTAATAACTTGAAATTTTATAGCGATTATAATATTCCGTATTTGGTTCAAATAACAGTGGAATAAGCACAAGGTTTAACAAAAGCTGTGGAAATCACTGATACTCAGTAGTCTCCTTTATTTACGGGGGATATGTTCCAAGACCTCCAGGGTTGCCTGCAACCAAGGATAGTACCAAACCTTATGTATACTATGTTTTTTCTATACATGCTTATGGCAAGGTTAATTTATAAATGAGATACAGTAAGAGATGAACAAAAATACTAATAATAAAATAGAACAGTTATCATAGTATGCCAGCAACACTACTCTTGTGCGTCAGGGTCATTAAAATAAGGATGACTTGAAGATGAGCACTGCTGTACCCGATAGTCTGCTAATTGAGGCAGCTACCAGGACTATTGGGTGGGCGGTGTCTACAGTGTAGAGATGCTAGACAAAGGGATGATTCACGTCCCGGGTGGGATGGTGTGAGATTGCATCATGCTACGCAGAATGGCATGGACTCTGAAACTGATAAATGGTTTATTTCTGGAATTTTCTATTTAGTATTTTCAGACTGCGGTTGATAGCAGGTAACTGAAACCAAGGAACGTGAAACTATGGAGAAGGAGGGACTACTTATATTGGAAAGCATTTATGCCTTCACCATTTAGAATAAGGACAAATACATCAACATATATTAATAGCATAATAATGCTCAGGGTGTGTGAAAGTAAGTTCTGTTTTTTCTCATGATCTTAATAAGTCAAGATCGAGGAAGGCATTGAATGTTGTAAAATTGTGTAAGTCACAATTGTGCTTAAGTTAACCAAGCTTGCCATTTAAAGAGGGTGTACTAGTTTTTATCTGGCAATATTACCTACTCTTTATGCAAAATTTCACTTCTCAGGGCTGTCGATTCCTTCTTTCCCTTGAATTTCTGAACAAGTTCTTGGAGTAAAGCTAACAGTGGAAAAGGCAGTGGTCTTTCAAAGGCCACATGAAAAACAGACTGATTGGCAATCGGGGTTGAGGCCAGCACCTCTGTCTGTTTGGATACGTCAGTGGTAGACAAGAGGAAAAAGTCGAGGGGTGAGAAGGGGAAAGTGAGAAGACAGGTGGAGGCAAAATGCAAGGATAGGAAAGAGAAAAGAGGGGTACAGGGAGATGGTGCCCCAAAGCTTTCCGTTTCATTGACGCTTTAGCATCTCTAGGCTGAATGGTCAGTATTTTTTTCTGTTGACATATTATGCTTATTTGGAGCTATGCTTATTAAATCCTTTTGTCCTCCAAAATTATTCTCAGTTCAGATTTCGAAGAAGCATCTGTTTAAGTCTTAATTCAGTGTTTTAAATAAACTTACAGGGTTTATAAACATTTTTCTGTGAGTGTGCTTGTCCGTTTTGTGCTTATAACAGAAGAACTAGGACTGGTTAACTTACAAAGAACAGAATTTATTCCTCATAATTCTGGAGGCAGGCACTTCAAGATCTAGGTGCTGACAAGGGTAGGGCCCAGCTCTGCTTCCAAGATGGCACCTTGAGTGCCGCCTCCTCCAGGGGAAAGGGTGTTGTGTCATGGGAGTAAACCCACTCCCATGAGCCCTTTTTGTAGCAGCGTTGATCTCCTCGTGAGGACAAAGCCTGCATGGCTGTGTGGCCTAAACACTCCCATTTGCTGCACCTCCCAACACCACTGCCTTGGGGGTTCAGTTTCAACACGAGTTTTGAAGGGTCCAAACCCTCAAACCATAGCAGTAAGTGCTCAGTAATATTTAAATGTGCAAGGCCGCTTCCATTTCTTTCTTTCTGACTTGTTTCACATTCCGTTTCACCAGATTCTAAGGTTAGTTAACAAGAGGCTTAGGTATTCTTTTTTGTTTGTTTGAGATGGAGTCTTGCTGTTGTTGCCCAGGCTGGAGTGCAGTGGCGCAATCTAGGCTCACTGCAACCTCTACTTCCCAGGTTCAAGCGATTCTCCTGCCTCAGCCTCTCAAGTAACTGAGCTTACAGATGCCCACCACCACACCTGGCTAATTTTTGTATTTTTAGTAGAGTTGGGGTTTCACCATGTTGGCCAGGCTGGCCTCGAACTCCTAACCTCAGGTGATCCACCTGCCTTGGCCTCCCAGCGTCCTGGGATTGCAGGCATGAGCCACCGTGTCCACCTGAGGCTTAGGTACTCTATATTTGGAGACTAATTGGATTTGGCTGGAGTTAAAAATTTTTAGCAGGATTCTTGAGGACTGATAACATGACAGCGGATTCCTCATGCCCCCAGAGTGGCGGCTATGCGGTCGGTTCCCAGAATCCTCTTCGGGGCTTGCTTTCTTCCAGCCCGTCCCCTGCCTGCCTTTCTCTCCTGTCTGTTCTCGTGGCAGGAAGGATTGAGGTTGATGCAAAATGTTTTTAAAAACACTGGCACGGCACAATGGCTCAGGCCTGTAATCCCAGTACTTTGGGAGGCCGAGGTGGATGGATCATGAGGTCAAGAGATCAAGACCATCCTGGCCAACATGGTAAAATCCCATCTCTACTAAAAATACAAAAATCGGCTGGGCATGGTGGCACATGCCTGTAATCCTAGCTACTCAGGAGGTGGAGGCAGGAGAATTGCTTGAATCAGGGAATCGGAGGTTGCAGTGAGCCAAGACTGCACCACTGCACTGCAGTCTGGGCAAGAGAGAGAGACTCCATCTAAAAAATATTAAAATTAAACCAACAAGAACAACAAAAAAACACCCTGGCCAGGCATGGTGGCTCATGCCTGTAATCCCAACACTTTGGGAGGCTGAGGTGGGTGGATCACCTGAGGTCAGGAGTTCGAGACCAACCTGACCAACATAGTGAAACCCCATCTTTACTAAAAATACAAAAATTAGCCTGGTATGGTGGCAGGCACTTGTAATCCCAGAACCTCGGGAGGCTGAGGCAAGAGAATTGCTTGAAACTGGGAGGCAGAGGTTGCAGTGAGCCAAAATTGTACCACTGCACTCCAGCCCGGGTAACAAGAGTGAAACCAGCCCATAACATGACAAGCAGAATTCTGTCCACTTTTGCAGCCATATGAGGAAAACACAGCAACTGCTTTGTCCTTGGTGATGCCCTGAGGGAGCCGCCCTGCTGCCCTGGGCACCCTGCCATGCTCTCCACTCCGGTCCCAATCTCCTAGGGCGGAGGTGAGGAGCTACTGGGCTGTCTTGTGACTCACAGGCTCGCCCACCCTTCGTTTGTTCCTAACAGTTTACTAGGAAAAATTTCAGACGTGGAGAAAGGTTGGAATTGAACACCATAGACCCACCATCTAGATTCAGTACCTGCTTTGTCGCATACTCATCCACCAATCCATCTTACTGTTTTTTAGGTATTTCAAAATAGTATTTTGGCTTTTTTTTTCTTAGTCTGTTATCACTAAATGTGAACCTTTATCCTCATTAAAATAATTTCAGGCATCATTAAGCAAATACATAGAAAGGACAATGGCCAACGAAGGGCCTTGCAAGGTCTTGCCATATGGTGGATGTTCAGGAAATATTGTTAAATTAGTGTGCTTGCATTAGTCCTATTAGACTAGCCCTGCCAGTAAACCTAAATTCGCCTTTTAGGACAAACAGTTACTTTTAAACCTCATGTTTCCTAGCACATGTAATCCCCAGTTTACAGGATGGACTTCAGGAAGATAGTCTGTGAAAGACCATCACCTAGAATTTGAAAGGGATTTTAAAATATGGATTATTATATTATAAAAGTGTATGTAAAACATTTTAAGCGCATACTTTGTTTTTAACACAGTGATTAAAAACACTGGGATACGTGCACAGCAGCGTTCCAGGGAATCCGTTTCCAGATCCTGTCTCAAGGATCCTCTTGAGGAAAAGCTTACAAGAGCAGTCCCTCCTTACTCCAGCCAGAATAGCTTCTTCCTAGTCTATCTTTTATGAAATTAAGGTTTCATGTAGAGCTGGGCACAGTGGCTCACACCTGTAACCCCAATACGTTAAGAGGTCAAGGTAGGAAAGTCACTTGAGCCCAGGAGTTCGAGACCAGCCTGGGCAACCCTGTCTCTACAAAAAATACAAAACTTAGCTGGTCACGGTGGCATGTGCCTCTGGACCCAGCTACTGGGGAGGCTGAGGTGGAAAGATTGCTTGAGCATGGGAGGTCAAGGATGCAGTGTGCCCACCTTGGCCTCCCAAAGTGCTGGGATTACAGGCATGAGTCACTGCTCCTGGCCTTGCTCTCCCTAAAAAAACAAAAAGACAAAAACAAAAAACGGGGGGAAAAAACCCCCACCTATTCCATTAACAACAACAGCAGACCTGTTGCTCTTAGGAGGTAAGAAGTGGAAATACACACACCGTTCATTCTGGAAACACTGACTCTCAACTTAAGAGAGAGACACATACACATACACCCATATCCAAGATTCACAAGGTTGGGCAGTGGCACAATCCTGGCTTATTGTAACTTTGAACTTTTGGGCTCAAGCAATCCTCCTGTTTTCAGCCTCTTGAGTAGATGGTGCTACAGGTGCTGGCTACCATGCCCAGCTAATTTTTCTTTAATTTTTTGGTTGAGATGGAATCTCGCTTTGTTGCCCAGGCTAGTCTCAAACCCCTAGCCTCAAGCAATCCTCCAGCTATTTAGTCTCCCAGGTAGCTGGCATTGCAAGTATGAGCTGCTGCACTCAATCAAAATAGTTGTAACTCAAAAATACTTTGCGTTACGTTTTCAGGGCTGATCTCTAAATGCACTGTGGTCAGCTGCCAGAAACCACCTCCCCTCTCTCTGGGACATAACAGGGCTATCACTCTTGATGTTATTCCTCACAGTAGAGCAGATGAGTCATTTTGGTAACGTCCTTCTTCCTTCCGAAACAGCCACAGCCACTATCATGTTCAAAGCAGCGTGCTTAGAAAGTGACCTGCACACCTGTTTGTAACATCCTCTTTTCCTCTCCATTCCTGGTAGGCGCGGGTTATGTATGATTTTGCTGCTGAACCTGGAAATAATGAATTGACGGTTAATGAAGGAGAAATCATCACAATCACAAATCCGGTAAGAGAACTGTACATTGAAATCTGATTGTCCCATATGGACTTATTTTTAAGATTTTTTATAAGTTAATCATTCAAACCCATCAGTATTTCTGTTGCTGATGAAATACTGATGGTGAGGTAAGAAGCTATTATATAAATATAGAAAAAAGTCCCTTAAAGACAGCCATGTATGTAATTGAATTTATTAGGTCTGCTGATTTTGTATCTTTTTCTATATGTTTATCTTATCATTTTTTTTTTACTGCTTATAACCTTTTAGATACCCCATAGTTGTCCTGGAATGTAGTTCAGTGTGTTTGCCCCTAGCACAATAATACTGTCTCTAGAATAAATAAAAGATGATGATGATTTTCCTAAATGTCTTAGCGGATTGATCCTGTCATTATTTTTCTAAGCTCTTTTCCTAAATCAGATTAGATTGCCAGAAAGCAATATACTCAGACCAGCTCCAGTGGAGTTTGCTTAGCTCCCAGTGGAGGAGTTCTCTTTGCTGAATTACAAGTTATTGCCTCAGCTTTTTTTTTTGAGGTGGAGTTTCACTCTTGTTGCCCAGGGCAGGATGCATTGGCAAAATCTCAGCTCACTGTAACCTCCGCCTCCCGGCTTCAAGCGATTCTCCTGCCTCAGCCTTCCGAGTAGCTGGGATTACAGGCATGCACCACCATGCCTGGCTAATTTCGTATTTTTAGTGGAGATAGGGTTTCTCCATGTTGATCAGGCTGGTCTCGAACTCCCGACCTCAGGTGATCCACCTGCCTTGGCCTCCCAAAGTGCTGAGACTATAGGCATGAGCCACCGTGCCTGGCTGCCTCAGCTTTTATTCAAACAAGAAGCAACTATATGTATAACAAGCATTTCTGCATCTTTACAAAACCCTGTTTGAACTTGTATATATATACATACACACATGTATCGTCAAAGTACACTCATATGTACACATGCATACGCACATTCATCTTCAGATATGTTTGTGTGTCTCTCCTCATGTAACTGGGTTTATTATGCTCTCCGTGATAAGCATCTCTGTGATCTCCTATTCCAGGGTTTTCTGGAGATTGGGCACATTTTGTTTGATGAAATAAAATCCTTATAGACTGTCTGTGTTGCCAGAAACCTTAGAGGCAAACATAATACTCATTTTTGTCCAGTTTTCTTAGCCAAAGATTCTGTTATACTTTTTTCCATTATTTCTGTGTCATATTTGTCTTATTGTTTAATTGTCCATTTTACATGTAACTTTATTGTAACTGTTCTTAAAATATGTAGCAAAATTATGAGATGAACTTCATTTGAAATAGTGTTACAAGAAAAATTGTATCAATAATATTTCATTGCATGCTCATACAGATGGAGAAGGAACAAAAGCAGATAGGGAGAATTCGTCTTTGTAAAATGGGCAAAACTTGAACCCGTCATTACGCACTTTCTTCACCTGGCTGATTTCGTGACACTGCCCTGTGCATCCCTGTCCTTGGTCCATGCCTCCGCCCCTGGGCCCCACACTGCAGCGTGTGTCTTCTGTGTCCTTTCCCTCGTGACAGTCACTCACATACTTAATATGTGTGCAGTCCTAGGCAAGGTACCCTGGAGATACAAAAATAGGAAAGCTGGTCCTTCCCCTGTGCCCTTTGTTTCCAGAGAGGTCTGTGTACCGGTATTTCTAACTGAAAGCTTCCAGAAGGGAGCTCGTTGTGACTGTATTATAGAACATGTTGGATCCCACATGCCTTTCCCTGGCCTCATGGGCTGTTCTCTTGTGTCCCTCCCCTCTCTGCCTTGCAAATGTTGGGGTTCCCATGTCATTTCATCTTCAGCCCATTTCCTTATACCAAAGGGTCTCAGATTTTTCTATTGCCATCTCTGTGCTGATGACCTTAAACCTGTATCTGCAGCTTCCCCCTGTGGGTCCAGCCTCAGAGGGTGCCATCAAGCTGTGTCCCAGACACCTTCACTCAGTTTTTTCACAAGCACTTCAAACTGACCATGTCAAGACTCAGCTCATCACCCATGCCTTCTCCTGACTTCTCTGTATTTCTATTGTGGCACCCTTCCATTCAGTTGACCGAGGCTCCCAAGGCTGTCACTTAAAGCCACTGGTTTCTCTCCCTAAAGTTGTACTCTTGTCCTGCCTCTCCTCTCCACCCTGCGCTTCCTTGCCAGTGCCCTGAGCTCAGCTCTCATCTCTTGCCTGGACCGTGCACCTTCCTCACTGCCTCTCCCTCAAGCCCAGGGTCTGTCTAAATGGTCAGTGTGGCCAGGTCACTCTTTGGCAGCATTCTGTCAGCTGTTGGTTGGCGAGACACCCAACCATGGGCTCCATCAGACCTCGCCAGCCTTTCCCTGTGCATGTGCACAGGCACACGCACGCCACTCATGTACATACTCTCAACATGCACTCTCACACATTCTTGTGCATACCCCCCACACACCCTTATGCATGCGCACACACACTCTTGCACACGCACCCTTGCAGCTTCATACACACACCTCATGCTCACATACTTTACATACTCTCACTTGTGCACTTTACACACACATACATGGCCTCTCACTCTTACCTGCTCTCACACGTACTCACTCGCATGCTCTCACACATAGGCAGCACTCACACATGCGAGCATGTACACACACCCTCTCTCACCTGCTCTCAAACACCCACACTCATATTCTCACACATACACATGCATTCACACGTGCGAGCACACACCCCCCTCATCTCACCTGCTCTCAGACCCCTACTTATGCTCTCACCTATGCACTCACAAGTGTGCACATGCACCATCTCTCACTTGCTCTCACACCCAGATGCAGCACTCATGCGAGCACACACACCCCTCACTCTCACCTCTCACAGATGCAACACTCACCCGTGCAAGCACACACAACACCCCTCAGACACTCTCAGCTGCTCTCGCACCCGCTCATGCTGTCACACAGATGCAGCACTCACGCATGTGCACACCCACACATGCTCTTACACAGATGCAACACACATGCAAGTGTACACACACCCCTCGCACCTGCTCTCACACACGCACAGTCACATGCTCTCACACATGCAGCACTCACGCATGTGCACACACCCACACATGCTCTTACACAGATGCAACACACATGCAAGTGTACACACACCCCTTGCACCTGCTCTCACACACACACAGTCACATGCTCTCACACAGATGCAGCACCTCCCCGTGGGAGCATGAACACGCCTCTCACTCATGCAAGCACACACACCTCTAAAACACTCTCACCTGCTTTCACACACACTCACACTCATGCACTCACACAGATGCACCACTCACCTGTGCGAGCACACACACCTGTCAGACACTCTGCCCTGCTCTCACATGCTCCTGTGGAAGGAGAGTGAGGATTGTGGCAGTGCAAAGATCAAGGAAGGCAGAAGTGATATTAGTTGCTGAATAAAGAGAGTATTTAGAAAATATACTTTGTATGTCTTTGATTAAAAAAAGAATCATCTGGGTGCAGAGGCTCATGCCTGTAATCCCTGCACTTTTGAAGATTGAGGGAGGTAGATCACTTTGAGCTCAGCAGTTGAAGCCCAGCTTGGGTAACATGGCAAAACCTCATCTCTACAAAAAATACAAAAATTTAGCCAGGTGTGGTAGTGGGCACTTGTAATCCCAGCTACCCGGGAGGCTGAGGTGGGAGAGTCACTTGAGCTCAGGAGTTTGAGGCTGCAGTAAGCCAAGATTGCGCCACTGCACATCAGCTTGGGAGACAAAATAGACGCTGTCTCAAAAAAAGAAAAAAACATCATTGGGTAAAAAAAGATTATGTAGTACTTTTGTATAATCTGCTAGGCATGTGTAAGTTAAATAGATTTCATCTTTAATCATAGCAGAGATTAAAGATTCTTCAATCTTACTCACCTTTTTTTTTTCTTTTTTCCAGACAGGGTCTCATCCTGTCGCACAGGCTGGAGTGCGGTGGCATGATCTTGGCTCACTGCAACCTTTGCCTCCTGGGTTTAAGCAATTCCCATGCCTCAGCCTCCCCAGTAGCTGGGATTACAGGTGTGAGCCACCACGCCTGGCCTTACCTAATTTTTTTATTGAAGTATTTAATTTTTCTTGGTAAAATAGTATTGTCCTCAAGTTGCTACTGTGGTCAAAAAGTGACAAAGTTGTGGTTTAAAGCAATTTTTTAAGAGAATGTGAGTATTAAGATTCAGGTAATTATTAACCAATTAAGACATTATTTTAAAACTTAAAAACTTACCATGTTAAAATTAGAAAGTTGGACTTGCCACTTATCATTGTTAATAATTAATGATATTAATATTAACATGAATAGCTTACTGTTTAGGTATAGTTTCTTCCAAAGATAACAACTTTTACTGTGAATAAAAGTTACAATTTTTCTTTTGATCATAGGTTGAAATGAGAATTCTGGTACATAGAGTTCTACTTTATTATTTAGTTTATTAATATTATTTATCCAGAAGAACTAAGGAGCCATGGATCAGTTCACTTTTTCTGCAAAGCAGTCCTAAAACTTAGTGGTTTAACCCAGTAACCATTTGTTATTGCTCAGGAATCTACAAGTCAGCTGGATGGTTCTCTTGAGCTGCACTGCATGTGTCTGGAGTCACTGGACCCTGCAGGGGACTGACTGGTCTAAGGTAGCCTTACTCAAGAGTCTGGCTGTTCTCCAGGTTGGCTGGCTTTGGATGGGGTAACAGGGAGACTAGTCTCTGTCTTCATCTAGCAGCCCACATTCATTCATATAGCGGCCTGGGTACCCGAAGAGCCCAGTAAAGTGTGCCGAAGCCCTTGAGGCAAGGTTCTGGATTCCCTGGAGGATTTCCACCTGATTCTGTTGGCCAGCAAGCTGGCAGAGGGCAGATTCCAGGCCTGGGATGCGCATCCCAGCACGTCACATTTGGAGCTGCACACCGTGTTCATCATCCGCCATAGACCAGTGCACAGACAGGACGAGGGTCATCTAATCATCAGCTGTTTTCAGTCTTTGACCACTTACTTGAAGTTTGATTTTTCTTGCTTTTAGTTTACATCATTTTCTGAAGTAAAAAGAAGACTTAAGAATTTAAGATTTTGAACAGTGTTCTCTAGGAATAAAAGGCTTAATGTTAATTACTTTGTTTATGCCTAACAATTCCTTCACACAAAATTGCTCCAGGAAATCTCAACTAGAATTTTTTTCTTTCTTCTTTTTTTTTTTTTTTTTTGTGACTTATTAGGATGTTGGTGGAGGATGGCTGGAAGGAAGAAACGTGAAAGGAGAACGAGGGCTGGTTCCCACAGACTATGTTGAAGTAAGAGCTTCCTGTCATTGATGAATTAGAGCTCATCTTTGTCAGGCATCTTTTTATAAATTATCAACTTAGGAGGTCAGCAACTTTCAAAACAAAAAAAAACAAAATTCCCATTGTAAACATAATAAATGTTAACTATATAAAATATGGAAAGTACATTGAAATAGAACTAAGAAAAATATTACCTGTAGACTGCAAATATTTACATTAAGTTTCTTCCAGGGATAGGAACTTTTAATTAGTCTGAATAAAAGTTAATATTTTTCCTTTGCTAATATTGTCTGTATTATAAATTATATAAGTTTAATAAGCTATATTAAATTATATATCAATGTATCTGTTAATATATAAATTTTAAATACATATTTAATGTATATGTTGTATATAATAAAATATATACATTTTATAAAATATATAAACTTTATAGATATTTATAATATATAATACATGTAACTTATTTTTCCTTTGCTGATATTGCTGCTGTCTGTAATATTGTTTGTTGTACAGTTGATTCACAGTTGAAATAGATTTTTTAAGTGCATATCTGAGTTCCTTCTCCCATTCCCCTAGACAGAAGGGTATCTTGGGTGAGCTGCTATGGGGATCTGCAGGTTAGAGCTGTTAGGATGGGTACCCGGGAGAGCAACACAGCAGCTTGGGACACCCCCAGCTGAGCCAACTGCCTGGTGCCCCCTGCTGGTTGTCTTTTGGTCCCTCCAAACCGAGGATGTGCAGGTTCTTGGTGAACTTGTCTTTCATGTTGGCTCACAGAAAGAAGTGAAGGTTTCCTGATGCCCTGTGAGTACAACTGGAGCTAAATCAAGAATAAAGGTACCTTTGGTTCACCTCCAAGAGAAAAGAATTCCCCTCAGAGGATGTTCATCTGGAACCTGGCTGCAGAGTGAGATTGAAGGCCGTCTCTCTGTTCTTGATAGACAGTGAGGGGTGGGGAGTCGTGACTCCTCAGAGAATCTGATGCCATCTCTAGGCTTTCCCTCAGAAACATGTGCCCATGGACACACCACAGCCTTTTTCATAAAGCTGCAGACCCTGTTCACAGGCTTCTGGCCTCAATCCATAGGTCTTATGTTCATGTCTTGTTTTACTTATATGCACTTTGCATCCAGGAGCCTACAGATTGACAAGATTGAGAAAAATCTGAGGATTTAAGTGGATATTGGCAGTAATTGGATTTCCTAGGATTCTACTTATAGAAAGGAATAGCTATTCCAGATATTCTTGGGTTTGCTTATCTTTTAAGAATATGAAACCCCCTCTAACAGAAATAGATCCTGCAGGCAGAAAATCAGTAAGGACGCAGCTGAACTCAACACCATCAATAAATTGATGCCCATTTATGGATGTCCATAGACTGCTTCATCAAACCACAGCAGGATACACATTTTTCTTAAGCTTACACAGAACATTCTCCAAGACAGACCACATTCTGAGCCATAACACATACGTCAACATGTTTGAAAGAAATCATACAGTGTCTGCTCTGAAACCACAGTGGAATCACACTAGAAATCAAAACAGAAAGATAGATGGAAAATCTCTAAATACTTAGAGATTGAACAACCCACTCTAAATAATGCATGGATCAAAGAAGAAATCTTGAGAAATTAAAAAATTGTTTGAACTAAATGAAAATGAAAATACAACCTATCAAAATATGGATATGTAGCGAAAACACTGGCTTAGAGAGAAATTTGTGGTTTGAAGAATATTTTTGACAATTCTTGCTTGCCCTCAAAGACTCCCTGAAGTATCCCTAATCCATGAAAATAATTGTAGTTCTTTCTACTATTCAGATTTTGCCCAGTGATGGAAAAGATCAATTTTCTTGTGGAAATTCAGTGGCTGACCAAGCCTTCCTTGATTCTCTCTCAGCCAGCACAACTCAAGCCAGTTCATCGGCTGCCAGCAGCAATCACCAGGTATGTCTCACTTCCTCCTTTTGGATGTGGCTGGCTTTATTGAAAAAAGAGCATATTTGTGAAAGCTTGTGATGCATTATAGCTATTGCCATTCCCCAAAAGCATAAACAAAGTTGCTTTTAGGTTGTTACGTGGTATTTCTGTTGAGTACTAACAAAGAACTCACCTGTTAAGCCTGTTAATGACTGTTTGCAAAATATAAGAGAAAAGGCAGGGTGTTAATTGAGAATTACTTTTAGAAGTCTGTCATGATATGAACAGAGGCCCCAAAAACTGCAAATACCCTCTTAGATAAAGGCACAGACAAAGGAAGAAGAGGAGGAGGGTCTTGTTGTTTAGGTGATCAGTGTCAGAGCCTCAGCCTGGATCAGGAAGTGGTCTCTAGCCCTGGCACATTGCTTACACTCTCAGAGCCAGAGGCCCTCATCCTGCAAGTAGCAGCAGTGCATGTGAAAGTCCAGCAGATGCAGGCACTCGGCACTCAGTTTCTTATTGTATTGCTTCTGGGAAGCTGAGAAGAGTGGGATAACTTGAGAAAAATACAGGGAAATTTTACATTAATTTTAATTAAAATTTCACCAGTTTAGGTGAAGTTGTCTAGTTCATTTATTCCCAAATGGTGACCCATAGTAAGTGACAAGAAGAAAACTGAGAAGATAGGTATCAAAATATTGCTGCTGCTGGGCATGGTGGCTCACGCCTGTAATCCCAGCACTGTCTTGAGGCCAAGGTGGGTGGATTACTTGAGTGCAGCAGTTCGAGACCAGCCTGGGCAGCATAGTGAAACCCAGTCTCCACACATTAAAAAAAAAAAAAAAAAAGTGAAAAAAAAAAAGAATTAAAATACTGTTACTGCTTACATCTTTAGAAATGAATAGGCTTTAGGAGATGTTATTTCTTCATTTTTTTTTTTTAAAACTACATAAAAGATTTTAAATTCTGTCAGGCTTAATAATCATATCACTTGCAATTACTTGCTTATAGAATATCTGTTTGTTGGCCAGGCGCGGTGGCTCACACCTGTAATCCCAGCACTTTGGAAGACCGAGGCAGGCGAATCACCTGAGGTTAGGAGTTTGAGACCATCTTGACCAACATGGTGAAACCCCATCTCTACTAAAAATACAAAAATTAGCTAGATGTGGTAGCGAGCACCTGTAATCCAAGCTGCTCAGGAGGCTGAGGCAGAAGAATCAGTTGAACTTGGGAGGCGGCCACTGCAGTGAGCTGAGGTTGTGTCACTGCACTCCAGCCTGGGCAACAGAGGGAGACTCTGTCTCAAAAGAAAAAACAAAGAGAGTATCTGTTAATTGACCTTTCAAGTGAGTTTATCAAAGTTTATCACCATATGCTAACTGCAGGTTTTATAAATTTCAGAATAGCTTTTTGTAGACATTCTGAATTACAGATTAGACTCAGATATTTAAACTTTGCGGGCAAGGTGATCACTGTAACTGAAGAACACTTTTCTATATTTTATTAGCCTGTACTACTTGAGGACATTGGCCAGCAAGGATTACTCACTATGAAATGCGAATAGTAGTTACGCATCACTCAAAGTTTTCCCAGGGGTTCTCACCTGAGCCCTGTTGCTATTTGAGGCCGCACACCCTTTCCTAGGAGGGCCTGTCCTGGCACTGCAGGATGTTGAGCAGCTTTCGTGACTTCTACCTACTTCTTTTCTACCTTCTAGCCAGTCACATGCACGCCGCCTCGGCTCTGACAACCAAAAATATCTCCAGATATAGCCAACCATCACCTAGGAGCAAAGCCAAGCCAGCTGAGATTCACTGAATACAAAACACCCATGACATGGGTTTGCATTAATAAAAGACAACATTTTAATAAAATAATTGTAATGAGAAGAACAAAAAATAGAAATGTTCATCTTATTTTAATTCCAGGTACTGACTAATTATTATTGCAAGATAGACGGAAGCAGTTTAGCTAATGAACAGAAATTAAAACTCAGGTTTCAGTCATGTTCTGTTATGAAATATATTCCTTGGTATTTACATGTAGTGTAATATAAACCGGTATAAGTCTAAATTTTTTTTCATCTAGGTTATTTAGAAGGTAATAAAACCAAAAAAAAGTGGGAATCTAGTCTAACATTGAATCTAATCAGATTCTTTGTAAGCAAAGAAAAATGAACTGAAACTAGAATTGACAAAATGCAGAAAGCATAGCTATTGATAACTTGAGCATTGGAATTTAATTTAAATCAAGTAAGAATATATTTTTTTTGACAAAATATTTTACCAGCTATCCCTGCTCTCTGTTATCTGGGATATGAGACCAATTTAAATAGGCCAAAATTTTGGTACATTTTATAAATACCCTGAAAGATGTCACAAGTAAGAAACCAGATGACCATTATTAATTGGTAGCTTTTTAAAACTTTTCCTGTCAGGTTTGCCCATGCCTTTCATGTTCTGACTGTGAATAGAAAGATGCACGTTCTGGGGTGTGCTGCTTGGGAGGCTCTGACTGCTCGCCCTAGCTTGTGCCCTCTCCCAGGGTCTGTTTTGAGAAGCTGGGCCTCTCTCCTGCCCATCTGGCCCATAGGCACATCCCCTCTCAGACTTCATCTCTTCAACTTGGCACTCTGCCAGCTTCTGAGCCAGCGTCTCTTGACCCATCTTAGCATCAGTTAGTTTGAATTTGACTCTCCTCCCACATAAGCAAATGGAAGCCCCATATTTAGTTGGTTATCCAACTTTCTGAGTGTCGTGTGTTTCTTTAACTATCTTTTTAAAGATCTCTTTGAATAATTTATTTCGAGCCTGCTACTCTTTCCTTGGCTTTGTATTCTTAATCAGTGCTGCATTTCAGAGTAACTACTTTATAGATGCGTAACGTGCTATGCAAGACAGCACTTTCTTTTGGTTTTTCTTAAAACTAATTTCAGGTTGCTTGGGGAACCCTTTAGTCCTAGATTGTTACTGAATAGTCCAGGTAAGTGGAGTTGCTGGTGTCAGGCAGTGTTGATGCATCCGGGACCATGGCCGGCTGTGATCGTTTTCCCCCTCTGACGGTGAGAAAACGCTTTGTCAGCTAAACATAGTCCAGTCTCTTGGCTGCAGTTTAGACTGCAGTTGTCAGTGTGAAAGGAATAGGATGAGTGGTTCTTTAAATGGGCTGAAACACTTCGATTTGGAAAATTATAAAGCTATTTATTAATAAATACTTGGAGAAAATAATAGCATTTTTTTATGAGCTTGGAATATGGAAGCCCTTTCTAAGGCTGATGACACCAAGTCTAGTAGCCATTAAGGAGATAATTGATACATTTAAGTAAACAAGTAATGTTAAACTAGGAAAAATGCTTCTGACCTGTGACAGATACAGGCGAATTCCATTCATATACATATACTCTCGCTAATCTGGAAGAAAAAGATGAACAGTTCAGAAGAATTAGATAAAGTTCGTTGGGGGGGAAAAGTATTAATAGTCAATAAACTTGGGAAAATGCTCATTTTGAGATTCTTCTGTCAAACCAGCAGAGAATGAAAACATTTCAGTACCTAGTGTGATAAAGGTGTCATACAAAGCTAGGGAAAGGATAAATCGGTGAAGCTTTTCAGGGCCAGTTCAGTAATACATATGAGTGTTTACAGTGCATACCCTCTAACGCCCAGCAGCTCTGTGTTCCTCCTGTAGATCTGCTAGCAGAACACAGGTTTCTGGGCAAGAAAGTTTCCTACGGCATTGTCTGTAACAGCAGAAAACGAATGTGCATCTCTGTCAGCAGAGGACTGATCAGAGGAACTCTAGGCAGCCACACAGTGGAAAGCTGAGCTGCTTTTAGGGAAAATGAGGGTAGATTCAGATGCACAGATAGATACATATGATTTTTTTTAAAAGGCACATCAGTATGGGTAATGCTATCTTTTTTGTGTTTAAATGTACACACATACCATGGATACAAAGTATGTAGAAAATTTATTGAAGGATGCCCAAGAACTGAATCAAACTCATCATTTTCTGATTCAAATACACTTTGTGTTACTCAGATGAGGACAACCATTTTACTACCTTTAAAAAGAAAGCACAGTTTTTAGGGGTTAATATTAGTTTCATTGTTAGTTACTTATCTGTTATTTCACAGTTTCAGGAGTATTTCACATTAGTGGCTGTACCACTAGAATGAACTGACCAGCCAATGGGAATGAATCTTAGTTGGTAAAGATCTGTACTCATGTGTGTGCTAGTCTTGTTTTTCATCCAGTTATTGTTTAGATTCCATCATTGCTGTGATTCTGAAAAGGTCTCAATATAGATCTTAAACTCTTAGGTCACTGCTTCTTTAGAGTGCCTACTTTTGAGAAATTAATAGAAAGTTTTGTTTGTATTTTTCTAAAGAATGAGAACAATGCGATTTAAATGTTACTTAAAAGTTCTGTAAACCTAAATGTTTTATCTGAAGGTTTTCTTCTTAAGAGGTTTGTTTTCTGTCTTCAAACAGAAAGATGTGTATACTTGGAATAAAGCTGCTTTTGTGAGAGCCCTTCTGGCCTCTGTCACGTGCTGTCCCTGGCCTCTCTGTTTTTCTGTTTCACAGTGGCACACACCGCCAGACCCCAGGTGAGTGGTGTAGTGGGAAGCATGTAAGCTTTGCTGTTACACCAGCTTGCCGGTCTGGCTCCACTGTGTAAGAATCGTGGCTTTGGCCTAAGACCTGCCTCCTGAATTGTCAGAGGTTTAGGCCACCAGTGTATAGTAGTGCTGGATACATGGAAGACATTTCATAAATATTTTCCTTCTTTTCCCACTTCTTCCCTCTTTTAAAAGGGTGTCCTCAATCCACTTACCCTTTTGTGTTCTAACCTCTCTCACTATTCTACCCTCTCTAATTGTGTAGATTCCCTTATGAAGTCTGTCTGATCTTGAATTTTCTCTTTGATTTGCTCAATTTCTAGCTTTTTGTTGAACATTTCTATCAGCATGTCTCCTCTGTATCTTAAATTCATCTTGAACAGAATCACTTATTTCCCTAC